CCAACCACTGCATATACTGCTGCACCAACTTCAACCTCTACTGAACCAACAACTGTACCACCAACGACTGTGCCGCCTACCGCGGCACCAACCTCTGCTCCTACTGCTGTACCTACTTTGCCGCCAACTGTACATCCAACAGCTGTTCCATGTCCACCTCACTCGCCCTACGTAAATATCCCACCATATCGTCTTGCTCCTCCACGTTCTTCGTATGTATACTCCCTACCTAAAGTTCCTCATAGTTATCCATCAGTGCAAAATTACCAAAGAGCTTCAGCACCTACTAATTGTATGAGAATAAGCGATAATGGGCCAGCTGGAAGAAGAGGAAGTACTCGCATTGTCTGCTTTCCGCTGCAGGCAGCGACCGCAAGTATTGTAAGACCGCGAATAGTTCAGCCACCGAAACCACTTCCAGTACCTTACGCAGCGCGGCGTTGCTATGGTCGTCGTTGCAATAGAGGGGAAACACCTCAACGAAATGGTTGTTGCATTGGAAGTAATGTTTATGCCAGAAAGCCAGTGAATTATGCAGCGCCAAGCCGTAAATTTTTATCACGTGCACCAGTTAGAAAGCCAATAAACTATGGATAATTGGGTATCTTTGTCATGGCAATATTGTATTTTAAGGAAAATAAGTTTAATTTCTTCTAGTGATTTTTTAGTGTATTTTTTAATTAAAATAAAGATATCAATGTATCAAAAGCGTTATGAAGTTTAATTTCTTCTTGTGAATTTATGTGTATTTTTTATAAAGATTTCTCTTTATATTTTTTAAACATCTTGTTCCAATTTCATATCTGAGAAATTTAAGGTATCTGTTAGATTCAAAGAATATCGTTGGACTGTCACATGACGAGGAGAACAGCTATAAGAAACCAGATTTAAATTTTGATGGGAAATTAGGACTGACTTCGAACAGAACGATTGACAGCAAAACTCAAAATATGGTTCAGGTTTAGATCACATACGCTCATAACTTACAAAGTCAGAAATATTTAACAAGTTACCGGACTTTTTAAATATGATATATAACTTAGATACCAACAGAGTTTGGGCTACAGCATAGCCTTGGTGAACTTAAATATTTACCTCTCTACCGATATACTCGTATAGTATTATTAGGAAACTTCGATGATTATATCGCTAATATGGGCTCACCATATAATAATAGTGGTCTCGTAAATATTAGTAAAATCTGTCGAGTATTGTCTACAATAATAATAAAATATCTCAGTTTCGGATCGTTGAACTTTGAAACATTGACATATTTGGTTTGTCAGTCACATGGCCGCATATGTAAAACTTTAATATGCTCCAGATACTCAGTTTGGTTTCCAAATTATTATGAATAGACTAACTTCGGAAGAACGTTTGCAAATCGCGCAAAGTTATTAACAAATTAAAGTTTCAATTCCTGCGACTCATCGCACGTTGCATTCCATATTCGGTCGACATAACAGCAGAGGCTGTAACTCAGGTAGTTATGGATCGGTTTAGAACTAAGTTCACTCAAGTGCATAATGCTCATCTGCGGCGGTGTCGTAAGTGCGCAACGAAGGCGCTATTGCTGCTGTCAACCAGAGTAGCGAAGAAGACCCGAATGAGTTCATCCGCCATCGCGCGCAACAATTGAAGCTTCTGAAGCTGGAGTTAACCGATTAAGCTCAACTTTAATGGCATTGATATATTAATAAATAAAATTGTCGCATTTAGAGTAATGATAACCCAGAAGCCGTTGCTGAGACGCCATCGTGCTCTATGGGCAGCTGAGAAAAGTACTCTTTTGCGCAATTCACTTGGAGGTGACCAGAAACGATTCTCTTACATATCGCTCAAGCGGTTTACGACTTCCGGTCGTAGACAAAACATTTTCTGGGTATCAAAAAAAAAAAAAAATAGTAAATCCGTTTGAAGGTAAGCTAAAGAAGAAGTGGGACCTTCCACGTAAAAGACACCTCCATTGAAAAGAAGGGAACAGTCTCAAATTAATTTATATAGCAAAGGAAACTTTTGGTGAGGGCATCAACTTGTGTCGTGGGCATATGGCTCAGCATCCAAGACTATATTTTGAGGGGTTATTTGGAGTCACTTTTCTACACTGATAAACCAGCAGGATTGACGTTTTCGAACAGAATATTCGATTGGTAACATATGGCGCCAATTACTGCAAACTCTCGACTATAATTTATTCGATCCAGCCGCCATGAAAACCTTTACAAATTGTTTAATTTTATTACGAAAATTCGCGTTCTCTAAAAAAATGTGTTTCACAGGCTTCGATCAACTCACGCAGTAAAGAAATTATAGCAGCCGTAGCTGTAAGTGGCCACGAAGTTTGTGGAGAGTCCCGTTCCCGCCACAGTCGGGCCTACGTAAGCGGAACGGACCACGATTTTTAACCGGCCAAGAACTGCCAGCTCGGCAAAACTGAGCCGCTACAACAACAACGTCCCCACGAGAGTCGATTCCACGCCGTTCGCAGCAAACTCGAACTGACGTATGGAACGACTTGGCGTATTTTACGTCGAGATCTTAAATTGAAAGCGTACAAAATATAGCTTGTGAAAAAAACTGACGCCGCTCGACCTTCCTAAGCGATTGATTTATGGGCTTTTGAATAGTTCCAAGAAGGAAGAAAGCTAAATTGCTGGATTTGGGACAAAGAAGAATCAGAAAAGTTTCAACAGCTGCCATTTCAGCCAGAAAAAAAAGCGGTTTGATGAGAACGTAACCGTCAATGGTGACCGTTCTCGCGCCATGATAGGCGACTATTTAATGCTCGAAAGTGAAGCTCGTGATCTCGTGACATTTCTATTAATGGAATTATTGAGAGAAACCCGTCTACGATCAGATAATTTCACATTTTGGGACTGTCGATCGGTCACCAGGATCGTGTAGACCGTTAGTCTATGCGGATAATTCCGCTTCGATTCAGGTTTGAAGCACAACATACGTGTAACATTTGTCAGTCGAAATGCTCGAACGAGTCATCGAAAATTGGACTCAAAGGATGGACTATTTGAGACGTAGCCGCGTCCAACATTTGAATGAGATAATTCTCAAAAAATAGACGCCAAAGTATGTTCTTTCGAATGATAATAAATATACCCCATTAAGTATGAAGTTAATGTATTTGTCTTTTAAAAATGAAGGAAACCTCGAAATGGGCCACCCTTTGGAAAAATTGTAAACATGACTTACTGTAGAACTGCAATAGTTTGGAGGGCAGAGGTGGGTATGTAGTATAGTAATAAACTAGTATAAACAATGAATTTAATTTTATCTTAGTATAAATGTTTCTTTATAAATTTCCAGTTTCACCAAAAAATGTGTTTTTCACAACTTAACACATGTAATTTGTTAGTTAATTGTTTAATAAAATATTTTAGCGCACGGGCTTTTATTAATTCACAGTTATGTGTATCAATATGAGCACGTTCGTTGGTCGCACATATTTCACAGCGCTGCAGGGGTACGCTCAACTATAAATACAAGCGTTTAAACTCTCTCATTGGCAGTTAATCTTTGGTGAAGTTAATTTAAATAACAGGCTAAAATTCAGTGCATTTCCAAATTTTAAAGTCGTAATTTGTGACAGCAAAGGATCGAAGCAGAAAAACTAGTATTACTAGTATATGAAGTAAGTCCAGTATTGGGAGTTAAATGTAGACCCAATGTAATAGGAACACAATTATCCACTCAGTGCGCGATAATTATCTTACTAATACGATAGTTCGGATGTTCCTAAATTCTAGGGTTGTAGGCAATATCTGTACAGCTGATAAATCGTTAAGCATTTTTTTAAAACAAGATCGATTGCAATTTCAAACTGAAGATCTATGCAGCCCACGTTGGGGTTTGTCAAAGTAGTTATAGCACATCAACAGTGGCTTTAAAAATTAAGTTAAAATAAAGAAGCATAAACCCTTCTCATATCAAGTTGCTTTCAAATATTTTCAGACTTATCACTTGTAAAAAGTCGGAACTATGATGGGATCCGCCACTATAAGACTGTTGGTGGCAACATTCGCCCTTTTACATTCCAGTGAAGCACATTCATTTCGAACCAAAGAGATTTGTAAGCCTGAAGCTCACATACTCCTCAATTTTAGTTTCATAAATTGTTAATTTAAAAACCAAAAACAAATTTTCAGCGCTTTATGAACCTCATGTCACCAGCAGCAAAAACTTGGCTACCACCGAATTTGATGTGCAACCTAATCGACTCTTGAGCAGAATACTGCAAGCCAATGTCAGGAAAAATGTCGGTACGTATTACGTTATAAGATAATTTGTTAGTTATTATGGTAATATCACAAGGGCTATCTATAATTCTCCAGGAGATGGCAGCAGCGCAAAAAGATTCTTACACCTTAGTCCTTTCTGGAGTTCTTTACAGTCATTAACACAAGGTGGAAATACTATACGCAGACCAAGAGCTATTAATGAACGTAAGTAAAAACATAATTTAAACAACCAAGAAATAATTATTCCAATTTTTTATTTTCTCAAATACAAATTATGTATTAAAGGAGACAAAGTTCAAATATTCGTTATACCTTCGGTGGCTCCGGAAGAGGATTTAGGAATCACAGATTCAACAACAACACAACTTCCAACAACTATAGCTTCAACGACTGTAGTACTAACAGATCCAACGACCGTACCAACAACACAGTCCACAACAACTTGTGCACCAACGACTGAGTCACCAACATATTCAACGACTGTGCCAACAACAGAGTCCACAACAACTTGTGCACCAACGACTGTACCAACAACACAGTCTACCACAACTGGAGCACCAACGACTGAGTCACCAACATATTCAACGACTGTATCAACAACACAGCCCACAACAACTTGTGCACCAACGACTGTGCCAACAATACAGCCTACCACAACTGCAGCACCAACGACTGAGTCACCAACATATTCAACGACTGTACTAACAACACAGTCCACAACAACTTGTGCACCAACGACTGAGTCACTAACAGATTCAACGACTGTACCAACAACACAGCCTCCCACAACTGTAGCACCAACGACTGTACCAACAACACAGCCTCCCACAACTGTAGCACCAACGACTGAGTCACCAACAGATTCAACGACTGTACCAACAACACAGCCTCCCACAACTGTAGCACCAACGACTGAGTCACCAACAGATTCAACGACTGTATCAACCACTCAGCCTACGTCAACTTTAGCACCAACGACTGTGCCAACAATACAGCACACAACAACTTTAGCACCTACGACTGTACCAACAATACATCCTCCCACAACTGTAACATCAACGACTGAGTCGAAAACAGATTCAACGACTGTACCAACAACACAGTCCACAACAACTTGTGCACCAACGACTGTACCAACAACACAGCCTCCCACAACTGTAGCACCAA